TCAGGAGTTAAAGATCAGCCTGGCCAATATGGTGACACCCCATCTCTATTAAAAATAGAAAACTTAGCTAGGCGAGGTGGTGGGCACCTGTAGTCCCAGCTACACAGGAGGCTGAGGAAGGAGAATCGCTTGAACCAGGGAGGCTAAGGTTGCAGTGGGCCAAGATCCTGCCACTGCACTCCAGCCTGGGTAACAGAGTGACTCCGTCTCAAAAAAAGAAAAGAAAAAGGAAAAAAAATCTAGGCCAGGCGCGGTGGCTCATGCCTGTAATTCCAGCACTTTGGGAGGCCGAGGCGGGAGGATCACTTGAGATTGGGAGTTCAAGACCAGCCTGACCAACACGGAGAAACCTTGTCTCTACTAAAAATACAATATTAGCTAGGCATGGTGGTACATGCCTGTAATCCCAGCTATTCGGGAGGCTGAGGCAGGAGAATCACTTGAACCCGGGAGGCAGAGGTTGCGGTGAGCCGAGATTGCGCCATTGCACTCCAGCCTGGGCAACAAGAGCTAACCTCTGTCCCGCCGCCCCCACCCAAAAAAAAAAAAGAAGAAAGAAAAATCCGAAGGCTGCGCAGGAACCAGCAAGAGAGCCTCTTTGTTTCTGCAATAGCCCTCTAGTGCCCTCTGCTGACAAAGCTTAACATTGCACTCACTAAAAGGGATAAATGCTTAGTGTAGACCCAGTTATCATGAAACAGGTACTGGGGTTGAATCTGGAGCTGAGAGGCAATGTATTGATGACTGCCATAGGAAGAAATCACTAAATGTCCAGAAATTAAATAAGGCCGGGCGCTGTGGCTCACGCCTATAATCCTAGCACTTTGGGAGGCTGACGTGGGCGGATCACTTGAGCTCAAGAATTCGAGACCAGCTTGGGCAACATGGCAAAACCCCATCGCTACTAAAAATAGAAAAATTAGCCGGGTGTGGTGGCCGGCGCCTGTAGCCCCAGCTACTCGGGAAGCCGAGGCTCAAGAATAGCTTGAGCCTGAAAGGCAGAGGTTGCAGTGAGCCGAGATGGAGCCACTGCACTGAAGTCTGGGTGACAGAGACTGTCTCAAAATAAAATAAATAAAATAAGGCCGGGTGCAGTGGCTCACGCCTGTAATCCCAGCACTTTGGGAGGCTGAAGTGGGCAGATCATGAGTTCAGGAGTTCGAGACCAGCTTGGCCAACATGGTGAAACCTTGTGTCTACTAAAAACACAAAAAATTAGCTGGGCATGGTGGCACATGCCTGTAATCCTAGCTACTCGGGAGACTGAGGCAGGAGAATTGCTTGAGCCCAGGAGATGGAGGCTGTGGTGATCTAAGATTATGCCTGGGCAACAGAGTGAGACTCCGTCTCAAAAAACAAAAACAAAACAAAAAACTAAAGAGAGTAGGAAGAAGGAAATTATAACGAGCAGAAACCTGTAAAATAGAAAACAAATAAACAATGAAGAAAAAGAAAGTCAAAAGCTGGGGGGGTTTTTTTTGGCTGGGCAAGGTGGCTCACACTTGTAATCCCAGGGAGGCTGAGGAGGGCAGATCACGAGGTCAGGAGTTCAAGACCACCCTGGCCAATATGGTGAAACACCGTCTCTACCAAAAACACAAAAACTTAGCTGGGCATGGTGGCACATGCCTGTAGTCCTAGGTACTTGGGAGCCTGAGGCAGAAGAATCACTTGAACCTGGAGGTGGAGGTTGGAGAGAGCCAAGATCACGACACTGCACTCCAGCCTGGGTGACAGAGTGAGATTCCGTCTCAAAAAACAAACAAACAAAAAAAGAGTATCTACAAAAAATATCTCTAGTCACCATATTAACAGCAAGATACTGAATGCTTCCCCTGAGGTCAGGAACAAGACAAGACTATACATCATCACCACTTCTAGTCAACATTACACTAACAGTCCTATCCAGTGCAATCATGCAAAGAAAAAGAAAAAAATGGAAGGTATAGAGACTGAGAAGGAGTAAGTAAAAACGTCTTTATTTGCTGCTCATGTGGTCATGTACGTAACAAGCCTCCCAGAGATAATCAACTTAGCGAGGGCACTGGCTGTTGGGACAGTCTTGCATGGGTCCTAAGCATCCCTGCATGTTCTTACTGTGTCAAACCAAAAAGCCTGTCTCCTGATACTGAGCACACAAGCAATTAAGTAGACCGAAGTGACCACAGTGTGATGGCAGTGTAATTTCTCCCTCCCCAGCGGAAGGGGCCTAGCTTTATTTGCTGCTTGCTAAAAAAGGTACTGAGCTTTTGGCTCTGGGCTCCACCAAGCTGTGGCATAACTTCTTCTTTTTTTTTTTTTTTTGATTTTTAACACATCTTATTTTATTCAGATAGCAGTCTGATCACACGTGGTCCAACAACACTCAAATAATAAATCAAATTTAATCAGATGTTAAAAAGATTGGTCTTCAAACATCATAGCCAATGATGCCACGCTTGCCTATGATCTCTCCGACATAAAACCACATCAACACCTCAGTGGCCACCAAACCATTCAGCACAGCTTCCTTAACTGTGAGTTGTTTGAAGCTACCAGTCTGAGCACTATTGACTATTTCTTTCAGGCTCTGAATAGCTCTAGGGATCTCAGCAGGGGTGGGAGGAATCAGCTCAACCTTGGCGTAGTACCAAAATGTGGCCAACTGAGGCTTCGAATAAGTCACAGCAGCGTTCACCAGCGCCGGGGTCTTCTCCACAAGGTTACGGATAAATTGGGCCATGGTTCTGGGATGGAAAGTCCGTCGCCCCGAACGGCCGGCTGAATGTGGCATAACTTCTTGAGTGCAGGACCAGCTGGGCTCATTGGGAGCAGGGGCCCAGGTCGCCATGCTGATGACCTGCTGTTTGCCATGCTGTCAGTAGTCTGGCCTCACTGTCAGCTTTTGGCATCTATGAAGTTGTGGTATACTCTGACATAGGTTAGCAACATTTTTCCTAAAGGGTCAGATGGTATTTAAAGCTGTTGGCCATGCAGTCTCTGTTGCAACCAACTACTTAACCTTGCAATAACAGCATGAAAGCAGCATTATATAACATGTAAGTAGGTACTTGATGATGTTCTCCAAGACACTTTTAATTACAAAAACAAGCAGCTGGCCCACTTTCTTTCCATATGAGGCTCAGAGCAGGAACTCGTCTAACTTCTCTTGGCTTGTAGGCAGCAGAGATGGGGCTGCAGAATCCGGATCCCTTTCCACCTCAATCTCTCTGCTTTCCTACTGACCCTAAATAATGCATTTAAGGGCCTCCTTACCCTCCAGCTTGCAGTTAAGTTGTACCAGCCGGAGATACACGTAGAGATCAGAGAGCGAAGGGAGATAGAGGTCCCTGATATTTCTTCACTAGCCTCCTAGACTGTGGGGACTCCTAGTGGTAGGTAGGCCTTCTACACACAACCAGCTTCAGGGAATTGTTTCAGGCCCTTCTCTTTTAAGCCTAGAAGTACCAATTACAGCCCCATCCCATCCCAGTTAGCCAGCAGTAAAGCATTTTACTTAAAGCTTAGTCACTCTTGGTCTGACCTGGCACAGCGACTCATGCTTATAATCCCAGCACTTTGGGAGGCCAAGGTGGGCGAACTGCCTGAGGTCAGGAGTTCAAGACCAGCCTGACCAACATGGTGAAACCCCCCCCTTTGTACTAAAAATACAAAAAAAAAAAAGATTAGCTGGGCATGGTGGTGGGTGCCTGTAATACCAGCTACTGGGGAAGCTGAGGCTGGAGAATCGCTTGAACCCAGGAGGCGGAGGCTGCAATGACCAGAGATCATACCATTGCACTCCAGGCTGGGTGACAAGAGTGAAACTCCATCTCAAAAAATAAATAATGAGTAAAATGACGTTTAGTCACTCTTCTCAGGTTACCTGGTTGGAGTGTGACCTCTGTTTCCTGCACAATGGGCTAACAGCCAAGTCAGCCTGAGTCCTCTCAAAACCCTTCCTTATGCACTCCCCTGCCTGCAGCAACACCTTCCCCACCTCCTGTCCCCCTGCCCCCAGACGGAGTATCACTGTCACCCAGGCTGGAGTGCAGCGGCATGATCTCAGCTCACTGCAACCCAACCTCTGTCTCCCAGGTTCCAGCGATTCTCCTGCCTCAGCCTCCCAAGTAGCTGGAACTACTGGTGCACACCACCATGCCCGGCTAATTTTTGTATTTTTAATAAAGATGGAGTTTCGCCATGCTGGCCAGGATGGTTTCCAACTCCCGACCTCAAGTGATCCACCAACCTCAGTCTCCCAAAGTGCTGGGATTACAGGTGTGAGCTACCGCACCCAGCCAGCAACATGCTTTTACCGCTCAAAATCCGAATCAGGAGGCTTTGAAGCCCAGCTCACAGGCCGTCTTTTGGAAACTAACTTCGATTTCCATGTGGGAGCACTTTGTCCTCTCAGCTCTCACTGAACCACTTTATGTATCACGTGGTGACTCGTTTCAATTTGTGCTCCAGGAAAGGACGCTCTATTTCCCTGGTGTCTCTACCTGCTACTAAATAGGCCGCAGAAAAAAACCAATGCTGGCGGGGCACAGTGGCTCATGCCTGTAATCCCAGGACTTTGGGAGGCCGAGGTGGGTAGATCACCTGAGGTCAGGAGTTCGCGACCAGGCTAGGCAACATAGTGAAACCCCATCTCCACTAAAAATACAAAAATTAGCTGGGCATGGTGGCAGGTGCCTGTAATCCCAGCTACTCAGGAGGCTGAGGTGGGAGAATCGCCTGAACCCGGGAGGAGGTCGCAATGAGTCGAGATTGCGCCGCTGGTCCAGACTGGGTAACGAACGAAACTCCGTCTCAAAAGAAAAGAAAAAAAGAAACCAATGCTAACCCCCACCCCGCATTTGCAGAGATCCGTCGCGCACACCGTTTATCGTTTCCGATGAAAAAGGGGAATGGTGGGACTAGGACTTATTTGCCAATCCTGATCATATTGTCACAGCTGGCCACTTCCGCCCAACGCCCGGTAGCCCGAGAGCCTCTGGGGTCCTCCCCCACACCCCCGAGGTCCTGCAGACGACGGCGTCGTGGGCGGCCACTGTTTTAGGTCTGGAACTGGAACATCAAGCGAGAGTCACTTGCCGCCAGGCCCGGGTTCTTCCCGCTCGGGTTGGGCACAGAGCGCCGCGTGCGGTCGGAGAGCCCGGAAGCGCAGGCCGCTCCGTCCCCGTTTCCGGCAGCGCCTCGCTGCTCCTGGAGCCGCGGTGGTAGCGTACGCAGTTTCCATGGGGACTGAAGATGGCGCCGCGAGGTGAGATTCTGGAGGTGTGTGAGTCGCTGGTCCCTTTCCCTTCGGCCCCTCCCTCCCACCTCTGTCCCAGAGCTTGACCTAAACCCTCCTTTCTCAAGCGTTAGGGACTTGGCGCCTCCCTGGTCCAAAGCGGGCTTCCGCGGCCCCGCCCAGCCTGGGTGCCTGAAGGTCTCCGGGTGCGGGGCTCAGATAGCTACACATCCTCGGCTGGGCCTCTTCTAGGCTGGCTCAGGTACGAATATGTGGATCTCCGCGCCCCAACTTCCCCTCCCAAATAGTGACAGGGAGAGATCTTTGATCTCAGTTACCTCTTAACTTGTATCCCTGAAGCCGAAGGATCGAGTTTCACGGTGATTCCTGGGAAAGGAGGGAAGCCCCCTCCACACTCACCTCCGTACCCTCACCCCACTCATTATCAGCAACCAGAAGTGCCCCTAAGTGGCCGGTCCCATTAGTCCACTGCCCCTAGTTTTCCCCAAAGTAGATACCAACCCCTTCGAGGAGCCGAGAGGGAGCCGCCCTCCTGCCCATCCCACTTCTCTGTGCTCCTTTTTCAGGGAAACGGTTGTCCTCCACCCCCCTGGAAATCCTATTCTTTCTGAACGGGTGGTATAATACTACCTATTTCCTGCTGGAACTTTTCATGTTTCTGTATAAAGGTAAGGAAGGCTTGAGGCTTAGACACAGCATCTTTCCCCCACTTCAGGTCAGAGCCGTCTCCTACCAAGAACCTTTTTTGCCCTATGCAGTTCTTTGTCGCTGCAAGGCAGGCCTCCTCATCAGATGGCTTATTTGAGTACGATCCCACAGGTAGCCCCTCAGCAAGAATTTCTTGAATTTGGGAAACAGGGCCTTTCAGTTCTGACTCCGCCCACATTGCTGCTCTTTGCTGAGCTCAGCTGTAAGCCCATTGGTGACCCTCAGAAACTTCAGTGGCCTGTGTACCCTGTATATCCAATCATTTTGGAGAGTGGAGTCCCCAGAGACTTTTGGAGTTAGGGGTAAAATGCGGTAATAATGAGCCGGGGTTGGTTGCACTGTGAGTTTATGTATCCTGCAGCTGTAACACCCACCTCCTAACTAGTTCATGGACAGCTGAGACAGATGTCCTCTTTTTCCCAAGTGTGTGGCAGTCCTTGTGGGTGCCGTTATCTGTTGTTTGCAAACTCTGGCTTTTGTATTGGCAGGTCTCCTGCTACCATATCCAAAAGCTAACCTAGCACTGGATGTGGTGATGCTCCTCCTTTACCTTGGAATTGAAGTAATTCGCCTGTTTTTTGGTGAGTGTCGTCCAGAGAATATTTCCACTCCTTATGAGACAAACTGTAACTTGATTAACAAGAAAAGTACATAACCTAGGTTAACTATCAAAGATTGGATCTGGAGGTATATCCCTTTACTCCCTCTCTGAAGTTTCAAGTTGCTGCTTCTTAATTGGGTCAACATTTACCTGTTCGTTGCTCTCTAAGGCTAGAGATCAGCAATAGCATGGGATATTAGATGATTGATTCCTTTTCAGCTGCCTAACTGCAAGAAGAGTGCCTGGTTCCTCTCACTAGCTTTCTTGGGGAATAGGTTCAGTTATAACTCCATGTCAGGGAGGCAGTATATCCTGCACAGATCAGTCCCAAGATCCCTGACAATTCTCTGAATAAGGATCTCTCGTAGGATTTTATTTTATTTAATTGGAGTTTTGTTCTGTTGCCAAGCTGGAGTGACGTGGCATGATCTCGGCTAACTGTAACCTCTGCCTCCCCGGTTCAAGTGATTCTCCTGCCTCAGCCTCCTGAGTAGCTGGGACTAGGTAGTAGGTGTGTGCCACCACACCAGCTAATCTTTGTATTTTTAGTAGAGATGGGGTTTCACCATGTTGGTCAGGCTGGTCACGAACTCCTGACCCCATGATCCCCCTGGCTTGGCCTTGCAAAGTGCTGGGATTACAGGCATGAGCCACCTTGCGAGGACTGATTTGTGTGTTACAGGCCAGATTTGTTTGTTTTTGAGACGGAGTTTCACTTTTGTTTTCCAGGCTGGAGTGTAATGGCATGATCTTGGCTTCCTGCAACCTCTGCCTCCCAGGTTCAAGCGACTCTCCTGCCTCAGCCTCCCGAGTAGCTGGGATTACAGGCATGCACCACCATGCCTGGCTAATTGTATATTTTTAGTAGAGATGGGGTTTCTCCATGTTGGCTAGGCTGGCCTTGAACTCACGACCTCAGGTGATCCGCCCACCTCGGCCTCCCAAAGTGCTGGGATTACAGGCGTGAGCCACCATGCCCAGCCAGGACTTTTTTTTTTTTGAGACGGAGTTTCGCTCTTGTTGCCCAGGCTGGAGTGCAATGGCGCATTCTTGGCTCACTGCAACCTCCGCCTCCTGGGTTCAACAATTCTCCTGTCTCAGCCTCCCAAGTAGCTGGGACTACAGGCATGTGCCACCATGCCTGGCTAATTTTTTGTATTTAATAGAGACAGGGTTTCACCATGTTTGCCAGGACGGTCTCCATCTCTTGACCTTGTGCTCCACCCGCCTCGGCCTCCCAAAGTGCTGGGATTACAGGCGTGAGCCACCGCGCCCGGCCAGGATTTTTTTTTTTAGCATTTATTTATTTGAGACAGAGTCTCACTCTGTCACCTAGGCTGGAGTACAGTGGTGCGATTATAGCTCACAGCAGCCTTGAAGCCCTGGGTTCAAGCAGTCCTCCCACTTCAGCCCTGAGTAGCTGGGACCACAGGCGTGTGACACCATGCCTGGCTAATTTTGAATTTTTTGTGGAGACAGTGTGTTACCTTGTTGCCCAGGCTTCTCTTAAACTCCTGGCCTCAAGCAATCCTCCCACTTTGGCCTTGCCAAGGTGCTGGGATTACAGGCATGAGCCAACATTCCTGGCCTGTAGGACAAGTTTTATAACCCCAGAAATACAGAGCAAAACCGTTATTTGTTAGAATATGTCATCCCTGAAATCAAAGTTAAAGCAGAAACTTAGGAACAAAATACTTGGAACATATATAAGAAAGGATAGCCGGGCGCGGTGGCTCACACCTGTAATCCCAGCACTTTGGGAAGCCAAGACGGGTGGATCGTGAGGTCAAGAGATCGAGACCATCCTGGTCAACATGGTGAAACCCTGTCTCTACTAAAAATACAAAAAAATTAGCTGGGCATGGTGGTGCATGCCTGTTGTCCCAGCTAATCGGGAGGCTGAGGCAGGAGAATTGCCTGAACCCAGGAGGCGGAGGTTGCAGTGAGCTGAGAACGCGCCATTGCACTCTAGCCTGGGTAACAAGAGTGAAACTCCGTCTCAAAAAAAAAAGAAAGGATAAAAGAAGGCTCACATAAGTCACTAAGGAAAAGACAAAATAACTTAAAAAAATTGGCAGGGCACGGTGGCTCATACCTGTAATCCCAGCACTTTGGGAGGCTGGAGCAGGTGGATCATTTGAGGTAAAGAGTTCGAGACCAGCTTGGCCAACATGGTAAAAATACAAGAATACAGTCTCTACTAAAAATACAAAAATTAGCCAGGCATGGGTGGCAGGCGCCTGTAATCCCAGCTACTAGGCAGGCTGAGGCAGGAGAATTGCTTGAACCGGGAGGTGGAGGTTACAGTGAGCCAAGATTATCCACTACACTCCAGCCTGGGTGACAAAGTGAGATTCAAAAACAAAAAAATTGGTAAGGGACATTAATAGGTAGTTCATATAAAAATGATTACAGAGAACCAGTCAAACTTGACAAGATGCTCAAACTCACTAATAAAAATCAAATTGAAACAAAGTAACATTTTTCACCCATCAGACTGGCTAAGATAAAGATTGGCAACACCCAGTTGTGAGTATGGGGAACAGATTGTTATACACTTCCGTGGTAATTGAGCTTAGTACAACTCTTTTTGGTAATAGTTATTACCATATAAAATTTGTAGTCTTAGCCCCAACAATTTCACTTCTAAAACTAGATTAAAATAAAAAAGGGCCGGTGCGGTGGCTCTTGCCTGTAATCCCAGCACTTTGGGAGGCCAAGGCGGGTGGATCAAGAGGTCAAGATATCGAGACCATCCTAGACAACATGGTGAAACCCCGTCTCTACTAAAAATACAAAAAATTAGCTGGGCACGGTGGCGCGTGCCTGTAATCCCAGCTACTCAAGAGGGTGAGGCAGGAGAATTGCCTGAACCCACGAGGCGGAGGTTGCGGTGAGCCGAGATCATGCCATTGCACTCCAGCCTGGGTAACAAGAGTGAAACTTCGTCTCAAAAAAAAAAAAAAATAATAATAATAATAAATCTTCAGGGTGTAGGGACATGGAAGCCTTTCATTTTCTTTCTTTCTTTTTTCTTTTTGTGTTTTTAGAGACGGTTTCTCCATGTTGGTCAGGCTGGTCTCAAACTCCCGACCTCAGGTAATCTGACCGCTTTGGCCTCCCAGAGTGTTGGGATTACAGGCATGAGCCACCGTGCTCTGCCTTTTTTTATTTTTGTAAAGTAGAGACAGGTTTTCCGCATGGTCTCGAACTCCTGACCTTGTGATCCACCTGCCTCAGCCTCCCAAAGTGCTGGGATTACAGAATGTGAACCACTGCACCTGGCTGAGGTCTTTCACTTTCTATATTCTCAAAAATTAAGTTTGTGTGTTGAAAAATTTTAAATGATTATATGTTTTTTTTATAATTAAAAAAAAATTTCTTTTCCCCAAATAAAGATCCTGTTGTCCCTTGAGTGGGAAATGACTGGAAGCAAGACCTCTGGATTAAGTGACTTTAATCTTGTAACTCTCCCAAAGCCTCAAACGTTTAGTACAGTGGGACCCCATTTATAAATCTGCCCACTCCCACTCAGGATCTTTTCCTTTGCCTTGCCATTCCATCACATCTCCTCCACCTTTCCCCTGGGCTAGGAAAAGCAGATCATTTGGAGATGACTCCATAGGCTGTGTCTGACAGGTACAAAGGGAAACCTCTGCCAACGAAAGATGCCACTCAGTATTAGCGTAGCCTTGACCTTCCCATCTGCCATGATGGCCTCCTATTACCTGCTGCTGCAGACCTACGTACTCCGCCTGGAAGCCATCATGAACGGCATCTTGCTCTTCTTCTGTGGCTCAGAGCTGTTGCTTGAGGTGCTCACCTTGGCTGCTTTCTCCAGGTACTGCTGCTGAGGGACCATTCACTAAAGGGTTGGGTTCCCCTCGCAGGGAGGGATTCAGTATTCTTTTGAAGCCTACGGGATCTAGAAGACTTTTTTCTAGAGGGGGAAAGGGGTGTCTATGGGATTGCCTTTCCTGTTTAGAGCAGGCAGAACGTTTCCCACTCGGGGAAGATACTCTCCCTGTTTTGGGGGGCCAGGAGGCTTGGAATATAGAACAGTTGAGTCTAGCCGCTCTCGTTCACTGGTCTTTTAACATTTTCTTTCTTTCTTTCTGCCATCAGTATGGACAGGATTTGAAGTACAAGATTTCAGCCAGCAGCCCATCAGGCTGATACCACACATATTGCTTCTGGTACTTTAGCCACACCGGTGAGAATTGGAGGGGAAAGTTGTCCTGAGAAAGGCTGTGTGGCTTTTCTTCAGCACAGACATTTGGGCAAGCAACGTGGCATAAGGCCAGTGGGTACCATCTTCTAAACCAGGATCATCAGTCCAAGAGACTCTTCTACACTCCAGTATAGGGAGGGGCAAGGTTATTCCCATCCTGGCCCTTCTCAGAACCAGTTCCCTGCTGACCTCAAGTTCTCCTCTTTGATCACCGTGGCCAGAACATCTCGTGTGGACCATCGAGGCTCCTTGGGCTTCAAGCAGGACCTGAGCCACATGCTCCCTCCCACACGAGCATAGAGAGCCTCAGGTTGGTAGGCTTCCAGAGCAATGCAAAAGCCTCTTACCCTAATCCTCAGAGACTGAGCTCTAGAACTTTTTTAGTAGCTCATAGTGTTATTTTTCTACTCTCATCATGATACAAACTTTATTTTATAATAAATACATATTTTCTGTAGTGGGGGTTGCAGCCTTTCCTTATGGCACCTGTCCCTAGAATTCATCCACTGCAAGAGAGGGTTGTGACTATCCCAGCGGTTTGTTCTCACAGGCTTTGCTTAGTGATACAATGTGGACACAAAGGCAGTGATGACCACTGATTTTCTTCCCCAGGCTGCAGCCTAAATTCGTCTCTAAATGCACTGCCATCCTCTTTATCTTCATCCAGTATCTCATCGTGCAAAAGACTGCTTATATGCCTCACTCTGCCCCAGTGTCAGCATCTTGTCTCCCTCTTCTTACAGATAATGTTAGCTCTTTTCCAGTGGGCCATGTGTAACTGGAAGAAGCATATTCGAAACTAACTAAATTGTTTTTGTTTTTTTGAGACAAGGTCTCACTGTGTCATCCAGGCTGCAGCACAGTGGCATGATCTTGGCTCACTGCAACCTTCGCCTCTCTGGCTCAAGTGATCCTCCTGCATCAGCTTCCCAAGTAGCTGGGACTACAGGCATGCACCACCATGCCTGGCTAATTTTCCTTTTTTCTTTTATTTCGAGACAGAGTCTCGCTCTGTCATCCAGGCTGGAGTGCAGTGATGCAATCTCAGCTCACTGCAACCTCCGCCTCCCAGGTTCAAGCTATTCTGCCTCAACCTCCTGAGTAGCTGGGACTACAGGGCATGCGTCATCATGCCCTGCCAATTTTTTTTGTATTTTTAATAGAGGGGGATTCACCATGCTGGCCAGGCTGGTCTTGAACTCCTGATCTCCTGACTCGCCTGCCTTGGCCTCCCAAAGTGCTGGGATTACAGGAGTCTACCACCACACCTGGCCCACTAATTTTGGTATTTATTGTAAAGATGGGTCTCACTATGTTGCTCAGGCTGGTCTCTTAACTCCTGGGCTCAAGTGATCCTCTCACCTCTACCTCCTAAGGTGCTGGGATTACAGGTACAAGCCACTGCACCCAGCTTTTTTTTTTTTTTTGAGATGCAGTCTTGCTCTGTTGCCAGGCTGGAGTGCAGTGGTGCGATCTCAGTTCACAACCTCTGCCTCCCGGGTTTAAGAGTTCCCCCATGTCAGCCTCCTGAGTAGCTGGGACTACAGGTATGTGCCACCAAAGCCAGCTAATTTTTTGTATTTTAGTAGAGCTGGGGTTTCTCCATGTTGGCTAGGCTGGTCTCAATCTCCTGACCTCGTGATCCATCTGTCTCAGCCTCCTGAAGTGATGGGATTACAGACATGAGCCACTACGCCTGGAGGCTGATTTTTTTTTTTTTGTCATTTATTTTAATATTTTGAGGCCTGGCCCAGTGGCTTATGCTTATGATCCCAACACTGTGGGAGGCTGAAGCAGGATGATCACGTGAGTCCAGGAATTCGTGACCAGCCTAGGTAATATGGTGAGAACTTTGTCTCTACAAAAAAATTTTTAAATTAGCCAGGTGTAGTGATGCACACCTGTAGTCGCAGCTACTCAGGAGGCTGTGGCAGGAGGATACCTTGAGCCCAGGAGGTCAAGACTGCAGTGAGCTGTTGTGCCATTGTAGTCCAGCTTGTGCATGAGTGTGACCCTATCTCAAAAATAAAATTTTGAGTTAACATAAAAGGAACACTGTTTTCTTCTTTGAGGCAGAGTCCCACTCTGTCACCAGGCTGAAGTACAGTGGTGAAATCTCAGCTCACTGCAACCTCCGCCTTCCGTGTTCAAGTGATTCTCCTGCCTCAGCCTCCCAAATAGCTGGGACTACAGGCACACACCACCATGCCCAGCTAATTTTTGTATTTTTTTTAGTTGAGACGGGGTTTCATCACGTTGGCCAGGATGGTCTCGATCTCTGGACCTCATGGCCTGCCTTGGCCTCCCAAAGTGCTGGGATCATAGGCGTTAGCCACTGTGCCCGGCAAGAACATTTTTTTTTAAGCCGGAGAACTGTCACTCTAGATCAATGTATACTTTCTTTCTCCAAGTAAGCATCTTTAAAATTATTCCTCATCTTCCTTGGTAGTGGCCATGTTTTTTAGCCCCAAGAAGCCACGAGGAGCCATAACAGAACCCACTTCAGAAAACCTTGAGGCCCTTGTCTGCTCTCAGATAAATCCTAGATTTTCTGCTCTTACTCAAAGTAAAAAGTAACTTTAAGCATTCTGTGCTGGCTTGTAACCCTCATTTTCTATGATCAAGCGCATTCTCATCCTGAGGGGCTCTGCTGTCCGAAGGACTGATCCTTTTTGTTTCCTGCCCCTTCTGTGCCCTTGCCTCCCAGCTGCCCTTGAGGACTATCCAAAAACCAGAGTAGACAGGTCTAATCAACCATGAAACAGTAACAAAACCTTCAAACCTTCGACAGGAACTGCCGTGATAATCACAAATCCCACTAATACGAATTTTCTGCTACTGTGTCCCTACTTTGAAGAAATCACTGGTATCAATCTGGAAGAGAGCCCATTCTGTATGGCCTGTTTAATTTAGAGGTTTACGGGTTAAGCTCACCCAGTAATAGTGATAAATGATTGGAAGGCTCAATTGGAAGTTTAAAGGTGCCTTATAAAATCCATGTTAGAATTTAAAGGGACCTACCTTAGAGATCAACCAAGTCTAATCCCCTACTTTGCAGGCTTAGAGGTGAGGAAGTGACATAACCAGCACCATACACCTGTATTAACAGGTGGAACTAGAAATCTTGCCTTAGGAGTCTGTCTGGAGCAGGGAAATTCCATTTCCCCATGCTTGAGGATGAGGATGATGGGTGAAAATGAGGCTGTGATTAGGAATAGGCAGTCCCCTCACTCAGTGGGTTAAGTAGATGTTTAGTGCATTGTGCTTCCTGTGGGTTGCTTGATAAATGTTCATTTTTCCTGATGCTTGTTGGAGCCACCTGTGTAGATGCAGTTAGTCCATGAGTAGAACAGACAACAGAAACAGGCAGTGCAGGACAGGAATCAATGTAGCTAGTTTATCAGTTATCATGGTGAGAGGCTGTGCTCACTAGTCAAGGGAAGCCGCTTTACAGTCCACACAGTCCTGGAGGCACCAACTTTCTGAGACAGTGGAGAGAGCTGAGCAAAGCAACAGGCCCTGCTCATGAGCTGGCAGAGGCCCGCTCAGCTACTCACACTCATGGCTAGAACCAGCAAGTGACTGCAGTGGTCCCGCCCAGTTTAAGAAGCGTTTAGGACACAGATTCAGGTTCCAGCTCCATACCATGGCAGCAGCTTGTGGAAACTAATAATCATCCAGTGCCTGGCAGTGTATTTCATTCATACAACGATCCTATGAGGCAGAAGGAAATTAATCCGAAGTCATGTGTCCGAGGGCATTCAGCTTAGAAATGGAATTGGGATTCGAACCTAGAGTAACCCTAAGGTCCTTCCTTTTCTACACCACCATGGCACCTCCTAGATGAAGCTGAATGTATTTGCCTCTAAGCTACCAGTCCTCACAAACTGAGTTTACAAAAGTCATCTGGGGCACGAAAACCAGATGCCTAGACCTTAAGTAGAGATCGCTACAGCTCAGGAACAGGTGTTTTGGCAAGCATGACAAACTACTAAGATGTGGGTTACCATGGAACCCAACTTACATTTTGAGAGAGATTCCAAGTATTTTTTTCCTCCTTTCCTTCAAGTTTCACATCATTGTAGACTCCCTACAGAATCTCTTCTCCTAAAGCTTGTTTATACACTGATCTTGCCATTTCTGGTACTGATACACATTATCCTCTGGTCTGTGGTTCACTTTTTAAAAATCATTGAACCCTCCTGCACCTGGCTTTTTAAAGCCAAAATCTTTTCTGGAGCCCCAAGATCACCACAATATACTTTCCTCATATTTAGGTAGTTTACAAAACACATTTGTTATTTCTGATGTGTGGAAGGCAGAAGTTATTTTCATCTTGCAGGTGAAAAAGACCGGGTTACGCTGCTTGTCCATATTTAGGCAGGCAGTGAACTAGCCACTAGCAGTTGGGTCTTGTAACACCTATCGAAGGATTCTTCCCTTCCTGAACTTGATGACACTGGAATTTAACTGTATAACATAGAACATTTGCTCTGAAAGTCTTAGGAATCTTGAAGGGTAAAGGATGACTTGGAAGTTTTCTTTAATCAGCTGTTTCGATGATGGCCAAGGAAAAAATTTAAACCCGAAGGAATGCCTCCAAAGGTCTGCACTAGAGGTCTCCTAGGAGGCCTCCACAGTCAACCAAAGCCATGTATATCACTGCCTGACATGCAATCCTGGCTAAGAACTTGGGGTTTCACAGTCATCCGAGTGTCTACATCAGCCCATGCCCATGCCCCAGACACCTCAACAAATCTATTCAATGCAGAATCCATAAAACAGCTCACACCCCATTTATTATTTAAAAATATTTTGTTACAAAAGGAAAAAAATACAATGCAGTATAAAAGACTGACAGCGTCATCAAGTTTATTACACAATTTTCAACCTATCAGAAAGACAAACAAATCACCGACAACAGGGGGACGGGACCTTGGCCTTTTTGAGGGGTGTTTTTTTTTCCTTTTGCTATCAGGAAATAAAACTAAAAATTGTGTCATTGAGTAAAAACAAAACAAAAATGGGGAGAAAAAAATTCTCCGGGTAAACAGCATTTCTGATATTCTATATATATTTTTCCTTAAACTGTCACCTTGTTTTTCTCTACGTTTTAAAAGACACCCGGAGTTGCTCTCAATAAGCACATCACTTAACACTTGGCCGGTTGGGTGGGGTGCCATGTTCTGAAGTGGAGGTGGGGATGGGGTTGGGGGACAGGGGAAAAAAAGCTCCAACCTGTAGCCTCTGTCCCAAGGGAATGTGCCTCTCCAACCCTGCGGGGGACTCCCTCAGTAACTGAGGGCTACATGAGAAACGTGCTGGGAACAGAGGAAGGGTTTAGTCCAATTCAGTCTCTCTCCTCTGAGCCAGAAGGGTCTCTAGTGACCCAATGTCTCACATGCCAAGTCTCATCTTAGATGCCACGTCCCATGTTAGATGTCAGATGCCCTGTAG